AACATAAACTGTCCTTTAAGGCTGTACTTTCTGTTTTTCCAAACAATATTCAGATATTTACAGGTAATAGTAGTTGCTAATTTTTATTAATTTATTTTATCTATTAAATAAAAATAAATGCATAAATAACAGGTATTAGTAGTTGTTAATTTTTATTTGCTTTATGCATAATTTGGAAGTGTCGAAAAGCTAGCAAGTCCAAAAACATTTTTAACTTAAATTAATTTGTTGGCTTTCTACATATTTTATCTATAATTTTTACTGGGTTTTTTTGTAAGAATAAAAACAGGTCAAGTCTTGTTTTATGTTTCTTCACTCTTCCATGCAGTAAATTTATAAAATGTAAGCCTGAGCTTTTACATTTGTTAAACTGACCAATTACGTTAGTCATAGAAGAGTTTATTTCTGGTTTTGTGGGATTCATAAACTGGTTCTGATCTGGTTTTGTGTTACTGTGTCTTCAGATGTGTTAATCTTTAGTCATCTTCTTTGCTAAGTTTTAAAACATCACATTTATATGACTGATAATCCGCAGGGTATGACGACTGGATGGGGTCAAAGGTCAGTTTTGAGTACCCCCCCCCACACACACACGCACACAGACACTCACGCACACACAAGCATACTACGTACACTGTAATGAAATTATTTTACATGTTAAAGAATTAAAATACATGTACATTACCGTTTCATAGATCATTGGATTTTTTTATTGTTGTTTGGCGCCACCTAGTGGAAAACCAAATACCTTCACTCCATTTGACAAGTGTCCCACAATATCCTGTTGCGTGCTCAATAATGCAGGTAGAAACATCTACAAAAGTTAAGTCCGGCCCTCTGGATGGATTCTTCTTGGTGAAGCTGTGCATTATCATATCCTTCAATGTACCCACGTCTGTTTTGGCCCCAAATTGTTAGGTGTGTGTGTGTGTGAATGGTCATTTATGTCCCTGTGATGGACTTGTCCAGGGTGTCCCCCGCCCCTCGCACAGTGACTGCTGGACATGGGCACCAGCGACCCCCGTGACCCAAAATGGAATAAGCGGGTACAGATAATGGATGGATGGATGGATGGATGGATAATGGATGGATGGATGGATTTTGGCCCCAGGAAAGTCATCTTTAAGTTGACATGGACAAAAGCATTGGAGATTTGGAGGTGGCCGTCACAGTCTGCTACGTTGTTTGCCTGACGTCCAGGACTTTAGGGATCCCCCACAATTCCTGTGACGTCATCACCGATCAACGCTATTATGACCAAGAACAAATTAGTTGTTAAATGTCTTTAAATGTATTGAATCTCAAAACATTTGATGGTAGATAACACAAACACATCGTTATAAATATTTTGCACAGCTGTCGAGACATGTTCCTGTTTTTAACATCGCTTTACAATCTAGCTGTTTTTGTTTCATTTTTTAATAGAATTCTTCCATTTAGTTTTTTTAGTTTATATGCTTTCTTTTATGATTGTCTACTATTAGTATCATTCTGTTGTAAATGAGTCCTCGAGGCTCAATGAGACTAACCTGTATAAATAAAGGTTGAATTATTACTTTTTTTTCCATAAAGTAATAACAAAAATATATTCCTGAGTCAAAGCTTTGCCCCATTTGTCCCAGAGGGACATTTATTAAACAGCTGTAACTTTACTAAAATGTCTATATTAATCCTCTTTAGCTGCAACACCTTCACGACGTTCGTAAGCGTGTGTGAAGCAGCACGTGAGGGGCTGCTTGTATTCAGTGAGAAGGGGCTGCATGAAGTTGGACGGGCAGAAAAAAAGAGAACTACTATACATGGATGTTCAAGTCAGTGAGGGGTGGCACCACATTAATAAAGCAGCGACTTATCATATTGCTGAAGACGCGGTCCATAGCGGCCAACAAGACGGCTAACTTTAGAGGTCTTGTTCCAGTTGAGACTGGGATCGTGTCTTTAGTGATACAAGCCGCTGCTTTACCAGAGCTGCAGCTTCACACTCTTCATACTCCTTATAGCACTGTTTTAAATGGTGAAAAAGATTCGTAGTTCTGACCTTTGTCGGGACTTGTTTTCGGCATCGTCTACAGAAAACATTTTTCTTCTGATCATCTGACAGTTTAAATCCAAACCATCTCCAAATAACAGCCATTGTTTTTCTTTTTGCTCAGCTGCTCTTCGCTATCCTCTCCCGTGTTTGTGTTGAACTTCAGCCCACCTGAAGAAGCAGGAAGCAGGGGGTGCGTGCGCAGCTGGAGGTGCAGATGGGAGAAAAAGAACTACAGATTTTCAAGCCTTATACTCAATGGTTGCAATGCCATTTTAACCATCGTAAATTGAAAAAGTCAATACATAAGAGTATAGTCGATATAATCCCTCAGCGCTAATGTAAAGTGAAACTGAAAGATGAGACAGGAACTGGAGTTGTTAAAAGATCGGTAGCTGTCTACATTGGTCCCAGTTCAAACTAGCCACTCGCTCTTCAGTTCGGTCCAAATTTATCTCCACACTTCTTCAAACTGTGATCGTTCAGGTGCTATCTACAACAGGTAAGACACTGACTGTTCATAAACTGGAGAGGAACATTCTAGAGATGATGTCAAGACGAAGCGAACCTTGTTTGTAGCAGCATCTATTATCTTTACCTGCTTATTTGCTGCTAATGCGCTCTTTTATTCAACATTTAATGAGGCTGTGTGTGTGTGTGTGTGTGTGTGTGCGTGTGTGTGTGTGGTTGGGTGGGGCGGAGGTCAGTCCTGACTTTTCCTCCACTACGTGATGTAAGCAAAAAAAGCACACCAAATGATGTTAAAAATCTATTTACTTGCTCCACTTTGGGAAACCCTGATGTTTGTCTTCTTTTAGTTTCACAACATTTGACTCATACTCGATCAAAATACGAGTTAACACTAAAATTATTGACATTTTAAATTCATATTTGAAACTTAAAAAAAAATCAACGTAGGCCGTCATTACGTTTATAATTTTCACAAAGATTTCAAGGTAATGACAAGAGAAACAATACAGAACAGCGCTGAAAAAGAAAAATCTAAAACCTTTCAAGTAATCAGTCACATCCAGATAAATAAATACAATTTGAACAAACAAAAAATAAAGATATTGTATCTTAGATAAATAATGGTAACCTTGCACGGAAAGTCAATATAGAGCTGGTATTCCGCATGTCAGAGGATAACAAAGCTTTTAACCACCTGCTGGTTAATAAAAGATGACCGTTCATGTGTGAGAATACATTTTCTAATTTATCTGCTGGCTGATCAGTTAAACACAGCAAACACAAAACCCTGGGTTTAAAATAAAATCCAGAAGATTCAAGACAGCTGATCTGAACGATGAGACGTTTCCCAGCAGGAGCTTCTGAACACTGGATGTGGATGAAGATGAGAAATGAAGAATGTCCTGCTTTAACTTGCATCTCCCTGCAGTTTCAATGGAGCTTGTGGATCTCACTCTAATCCTCCTTTCAGTCCAGAATCAGTAAATCACTGCCATCTTGGCCAATCTAAGAATAAAATAGATTAATATTCTTATTTAAAACTCTTTCTGAACACTTTTTATTTAAACAAACAGCCTTTAAACGGTGTTCCAAGTTAGCAATACGCATTAATTAAATTTGTTTTTGTGTGCTTGGATACTTCAAGAAGCTTCCTTTAAACAGACATAACTGATATTAATATAAAAGCAACAGTTCTGATCTTTTAAAATGACATTTTGCAGAAAGGTATGAACAATTAACATCTTACCTGAGGTGGATGGCTCTTTCAACAGCCTCATTTAGCAGAAATTGAGTTTACGACTGACCAAAATTCATGAGCTAACAGCTACTCCAAGTTGGGCCAAGACCAGTTAGGAGTGTTGCCATCTTAAAAACACTGAACCTAAAATAAGAAGGCGGTCCACTTCGGTGAATGTTATGACCTACATCTATAACGTGCAACTGATGGTGATTTAAAAGACTGTTCACGTCAGCCGCTAACAAATGTTTGAAGTCAAAGTTATTTTAGGACGACAACAACACTTTTGTCTCGGCCCCGGTCAGATTAGCAGTTAGCTCGTCAAAACTCTTAAAAATAAGCTATTTCTCCAAACTGAGGTTCAATCAATTAATGCATAACATAAAATAAAAAAAGGTCTCGGGACATGTGGCATCTATAAAATCCCCACCTCACCCAGAAAAAAAACCCCCACCTAATAAAAAACATTAAATTTTAGAAACCTATCTAAAACACAAACACACAGATATATCTACATACATAAATACATGCATGCACATCCACAATATAAAATATTGTATACGTTCAAAAAAGCCATCTACAACAGGTAAGACATTTACAGTTCGTCACCTTCCCGCAGAACTAAACTGTTAGTTTAATCACTGTGGGTTTAGCATTTTATTAATAAGCACTAGAAACTAAAGAAAAGGCCACGGCAGGTTGATTGTAGAAGTTATTTTGCGGACGAAGGGATGTTTGTGGGTTTTTACGGTAGTTTAAGAGGAGGAAGGCAGTTTGTGACACGTCTAAATGTTTGATTGTTTGCTTTGATTTAGTAAAACCTGTTTGTGTGCAACTCTTGAAGGAAACTAGAGGCTTTGATTTCCTGCCAGGTGGTGTTTCAATCACCATGTGTTTGTCATGAGGGTTGCCAGGTAAATACTTCAGGGAGATGAAGTGTTGCACAGTCAGTGATTTGTTCCGTGAATCACAAAAAGTAGAAAACGTTTGGGCTGTAGAAAAACCTAAAACAGAATTATTGCTAAAAATGTACAAGAAAAGAAAGGTTGAGCAAATTAATTTCTAAACAGGTGAACAGTTGCCAATAAAACAGCTTTAACATTAAAAATATAAAATAAAGAAGACTGCGATGCATTCAGATCTGTTCCACGTTGGATTCCTCTTGGAGCAGTAAAAAGTGACGGCACCATGTGGGTTCAGTAATGCACCATCGAAGGCCACGCACACCTCTGAGTTTCAACAAAGACAAAATAAACTCTACGGTTTAATCTGTGATCAACGGTTCCAATGAGATTCAGTTTGTATCAGAGTGGTCCACATGAAAGCTGATTGTCCACTTGAGGAAGAATGAAGGCTGTGAGGTATAAACCCGCGAGGTCCCATCATGCTTATCGGTAAAGGACGATCATGGAAGGAATTGCAACAGCGTTCAGACACGTGTGGCAGTGTTCATGTCATTTCTCTTCTCTGGAGCTGACGAAGCATCAGTTCCCTCAGACCTCCAACCGGTCAGCAGTCTCCAAAAGACTCGGGATATTTTTAAAAAACGACTACGAAGTCGATTCATCAGCTTCTTGGAAACAAACGGGAAGCTTCTCCTGTTTTATGAGTTTCAGGCAGAGTCAGGTCAAGGGTCGAGGAGGAGACGGGGGGTCATAAGGCCACAACGGTGCATGGGTGTTTGAGTTTACAAGGCAGGACTCCTCTGTTCAGCTGGTAGAACTCCACCAGCTGGATCAGGTCCGTGAATTTGGTTACGCCATCGTCCAGGCTGAAGAAGACTTGGCCGTCCTCTTCACACTGGTACCATGAAAGAGTCCACACAACAGGCAGAGAGTTATTAAAAGGAAAACATTCAAATGAGTTATAAACAGCCAAAACAAGGCATCAAAGTGACAGTTCAAATCTGTTGGACAATAATATCTTAGTGTGGTGTCTCATGGGGTTGGAGACTCATACTTAGACTTTCTGTTGCAGCCTCGCTGAATTCTACAACCAAGAGAGCAGCAAGTCATGTGTTGAGTTGCCATTTTTTAAATTACAATTACAATTGGAGGCCTCTGTGTTCATCTGCCCCAGTTCATATAAATCACCTTATTAAATTATTATAAATTAATTAATTAAATAATAATAATAAATTATTAAATTAATCTTATCATAGTGGATCAACCATGTTGCTGCTGACAGCCAGAACCAGCTATTCACATGTAAAAGAAGGACTATCATCCTAACAATTGGTCATCGGTACCCTGATGGCCAATTGTTATTCAGACTATTCCAATCGTTAGGGCTCCAACGATCCATTGTTAGGCTGATGGTCCTCCTTTTGTATGTAAATAGTTGGCTCTGGCTGTCAGCAGTAAACTAGTTGATCTACTATGAGAAGTTGCTGCAGCTCCTCAGACTAAAGAAGTCTCTTGGATAAAAGATGAAATGTTTCAATAATACTCCATTTACACAAGAGCAACCTCTGGAAATGATACTTGTTTTTTCCAATGTTTATTGGGGTAAAACTGTAGTTAGTGCAGAAGAAATTGGACTGAAGCTGCCTGTGTAGTGCGCATGTGCAATTACACACTTGAGAGCCTTTCACACCTCTGTAGGGGGTTACCCCGAAAATCTCGACTCTGAGACCTTGAGGTTTCAGAGAGAATGAGGGCTGTTGTCATGTAAATGAACAGCTGAACCGCAGCAGAAAGGATGTTGTTTCACGTTGTGTAAACGGGGCCAGACTGGCTGCCCTGTATGTCAATCAAGTGACAAATTCCATAGTCTATTATTTAATGCCATGTGATCTACCCAAACTACCTTTGTGATCGACCGGTAGATGGAGATCGACGTATTGAGCACCCTGCTATATATTATAAGTTTTAAGTTATATACTATAAGTTTTTTCCCGAAAGCCATCACCACACTGAACTCACACATGCACTGATTTAATCATCTAACCTCCCAAACACCTGGACTTCTACTGTGCAATACTACTGACATTTCATACCCTCAGTCACCTTAACTGCCTCACTAATATCCATAATGTGCAATACAATTGTGTAATACTTGTATTTTTTACTTTCATTATTATATCTATATTGCGTTACATTTTTTATATTTTTAGTGTGTGTTTAATGTGTGTTTTCTTAAGGCGTGTTTTTGCACTGGAAAAAGGAGTGGCTCTTAATTTCATTGTACTGCGTATAATGACAATAAAGGCATTCTGATTCTCTGATATGCATAGTACATACTACTATACATTATAGGATATATACTATATGTTATATGCTATACGTTATATGCTATATACTATAAGTTATATGCATAGTACATACTACTATATGTTATATGCTATAGGCTTTACGTTATATGCTATAGGCTTTACGTTATATGCTATATACTTTGTTATATGCTATATACTATACGTTATATGCTATATACTATACGTTAT